TACTCAGTTCTGGCAGGCAGTTGGTTGTTTCTGACTCCATTGTCTTAATATCTCTGGAACACAGCTCATTTACTAGGTTTGACCTGTCCATGCCTCTTCCTCCACTAACCACTGCCAGTCTGTGAGCCTTTTCATTTGTCTTCTTTCTTCAGTATCTTGATTTGTACAGCCAAAATAGCAATTGTTCAAAACCTTTTCACGGTAATTAGCATCTGTAGCTGACACACTAAAGCATTGGTTCCTCATCCCTCAGTGATTCAAGTTTGTGTCTATTAACAGGCGTCTTGCAGCACAAAGAGATCCAGCCACGCCTTTGCTGCTGTCAACTGCTGTAAAGAGAAGGACCTATGTGCTGCCAATAAAGTGACGAGGACGCCCAGGCTGAACCTCTACTCACGCGGCTTCTACGTCGCGCATATACAAAACGCAGCCACGATCAAAGAGCCCGCTATCAGACAGTTTGTGGAGACGTCGCCACTCCTGAGCCAGCCTAAAGGAGACGTTGAGCAGCTCTAACGATGTCACTCTCCTACTGTGGGTCTGACTGGAGTCTTGTCATCACCCTGTGCTAGAAACATCTGGCCCTCCAGTGCCACACTTCATCGTATCTGGGAATGAATTAATGTATGAAAACAAAAATAATAAAAGGCGTTTCAGAAAATAAAAGCAATGTTTCCGCGTTGTAAATTTGAACAAATAAGTTACAAACAATATATTGCACAATTTATTGCCTGGCATATTTCGCTGTATCTCGTCAGGTGCATACTACAGTAACAATTACATAAATGAAGCAAAAAAAGTGAATACTTTATAACTGAAGTACACATTCAACAAAGATCAAACATGATTGCCTGTTTTATCATGGCAGCCGTAAAGTCAGAACCATCTGCCGCCAGAATTATGTATACAGAAAGATATGGTTCTTACTTTACTTTAAGTAACGGTTCATTGTCAGTGTGAAAAATAGAAACGACGACATGGAAATAATACCAATTGTTGATGAACAAAGGGATTGGCTGCGTGAATCAATTCAGCAGATACACAGAGTTGCTAGAACGAAACGGATAACGATTGAAAGTTTGCAGCTAATGGATAAGAGAAGTAAGGGAAAGAATGATAAACACAAATATCATCATAATCATCATCAGGTGCCTTGCCGACTGGCGTGGACGATCATGCCTCTCCATAATCCACGATCTCCTGCAGCATGTACAGATGAAGATACAAGTATATATATATATATATATATATATATATATATATATATATATATAAAGTGAATAAGATTGGGAAAAATAATGAAAAAAGACTCACATGCCATGCAGAACAGACAACAGAGAGGAAAATATGTAACATTAGTGGATGTTCAAAATCGCAAAAAGAAATGAAATAGTAACGATACAAAGTGATAAAATTAAAATGATGGACTTAGTACTTGATGGATCTGTATGATGATAAGAGGCCAGAAGTTTATTTGCTGTAAAACAGTGAAGACCAACCAATACAGGCTGCACAAGTTAAGGATGCACTGCACCACATAAGGACAAAAATGGCATCTAGCTCAGACAAGATCACATTGGAAACAAAACTGTAGCTGTAGGATATTATGGAATTCTTCTTCTTCTTCGCGCTCACCGGCTGTAAACTTCGGCAGAACGTTCTGGTTGTTAGTCCACTTCTGGACTGCAGTCCTGTTCCAGAACCGAAGTGTTGCGAGTGCATCCGTTTGACAGATCTGTGTGCAGACTGTTGGTTTCTTGCTTCTCAGGCAGATGCACTCTGACTTCGAAGGAAGCTCCCAATTAGTCGATTTTTACGACATGCTTTTGGGTAGGCAGTGGATCTATTCTTGTTTTTCCTATAGTAGAGCCTAGGAACCCACACGGGGGATTATGGAACCGAAATAATAACCAAATTGTTAATGTGGAAGGGCAATATAGTTGATACATTCTTAATGACCTATCAACATCTACATTTTTTGCTCTAACAAAGAAAAAAGACACTTTGAAAGGTGAAGACTATTGTACAATAAGTCTGATGAGTCATGTGACTAAGATGTTACTGTGAATAATTATGAAAAAAATACGAAACAAGATTAAACCAGAAATGAGTAAAGAACACTGTGAATTTGTAGAAAAGGTCCAAACAATGACATATGCAACCTTAGACCTCTGTGGGAAAGAGCTATACAAGTAAAAAAAACAATCTTTTTCTCAAGCTTCGGTGACTATACGAGCGCGTTTGAATGGAGAAACATGAAGAAAAAAAAAAATACTGCTAGAAAAGTTAAACACTGGTAGAAAAGATTTACAGATTATAAAGTACATGTATTGGCAGCAAAAAGCAGCTATAAGAATTAATAACCGTTTGGGAACATTTCCGAGCACAAAGAGGGCAGTAAGACAATGATAAGTACTATGATCAGATTGGTTTTCATTATACGGTGAAAATATAATTAAATCTATCATTTGAAAAAAAAAAAAAAAAAAAACAACAACAACAATAGTAGCTAAATGTTAAAAAAAAAAAAGAAAGTTAAAGGTGATATTCTAGGACAAGTACAAAAATGTAAGTATCTAGACACACAGATAATATCCGATGGAAGATGTTTTACAGAGATGAAGAACAGAACATGGGAGGACAAAACTACATTTTACCAAATTAAGAGCATTTTGTTAAAAAAAAACACACGTCATTGGAGGTTAGAGAAAGATTTCTCGCATGCTATATAGAGACATTTGTAATACACGACTGTGAAACTTGGAGGTTAGAGAAAGATTTCTCGCATGCTATATAGAGACATTTGTAATACACGACTGTGAAACTTGGAGGTTAGAGAAAGATTTCTCGCATGCTATATAGAGACATTTGTAATACACGACTGTGAAACTTGGAGGTTAGAGAAAGATTTCTCGCATGCTATATAGAGACGTTTGTAATACACGGCTGTGAAACTTGGAGGTTAGAGAAAGATTTCTCGCATGCTATATAGAGACGTTTGTAATACACGGCTGTGACACTTGGACAATAAATAAATAGGCCGAACAATATCTTGAGGCCTGGAAGATGTCGTTTTACAGAAGAATCCTTAGAATTCTTTGGACCGCTTAAAAGAGCAGCCAGTACGTTTTGAAAGAGGTGAGTGCTCGAAGACAACCTATCACAAACATTAGAAAGAGATAGTCAACATGTTTAGTCATGTTATAAGAAGAGAATAGATGGAACATGCTGTGACCACCGGAAAGCTCTGTGGAAGGAGAGACAGAGGAAGACAGCCAGAGACGATTATTATTATTAGTCTCCCGTCATGTTATGTAGGGGTGTCATGTTATGTTATGGTATGTTATGTTATGTTATGTTATGTTATGTCATGTTATGTTATGTTATGTTATGTTATGGTATGTTATGTTATGTTATGTTATGTTATGTTATGTTATGTTATGTTATGGTATGTTATGTCATGTTATGTTATGTTATGTTATGTTATGTTATGTTATGTTATGTTATGGTATGTTATGTTATGTTATGTTATGTTATGTTATGTTATGTTATGTTATGTTATGGTATGTTATGTTATGTTATGTTATGTTATGTTATGGTATGGTATGTTATGTTATGTTATGTTATGTTATGGTATGGTATGTTATGTTATGTTATGCTAGTAAAGTAAAGAACACTTTATCACACCTTCAGATGTATTAGGCATATAGGGCTAGACCTATATTTTCTAGATCATTCGGCACTTGGTGGGTGATGTGGTGAAATCTCGCCGACCGCCTTTACTTCCCACGATTGCACACGGTACCCACTCAGGGCTGGATCGACCAGGGAGCGTAAATGATGTCTGAAAAAAAGTACGGCTCCGCTTCACCAGGACACGGACCAACGACTATTTCATTATGTTATGTTACTATGTATAGCTATGACATTTTGTTTTGACGGTTTGTTATGTTATGCCGGTATTATATGTTTTGCTAAATGTTTTTTTTTTATATACCTTTTGTCAGTTAAGATAATTACATTCATTGTTTTATATGAATATATATATATATATATATATATATATATATATATATATATATATATATATATATATATATATATATATATATATATATATTTAGCGGGGAGAGAAAGAGAGAGGAAGCCTCAGTGCTGCCAGATCTAAACATTTTGTTCTCGTGCTTGGATACAGCGTCGGGGCTGCCAGATCTAAACATTTCGTTCCTGTGCTTGGATACAGCGTCGGGGCTGCCAGATCTAAACATTTCGTTTCCGTGCTTGGATACAGCGTCGGAGCTGCCAGATCTAAACATTTCGTTCCCGTGCTTGGATACAGCGTCGGGGCAGCCAAACACGAGTGTTGGCATGATGTATATGATCGTTATCAGTACATAGTCTCCTAACTAGGGTGTGTGGTGGTTGGAGGGGGGTTGGGTTGAGGGAAAAAGGGGGGGGGGGGGGGGGCTGCTCCTCCTGACTTCCATCTCAAACTGCATGCACTATTAGTTGATGTACTGACACCCAGCTGACTTCCATCTCAAACAGCATGCACTATTAGTTGATGTACTAACTGACACCCATTCATGCCAGGACAGAGACCTGTTTAGATCTGTCTGGTTGTCTCTCCCCTTATCGCTCTATCCTGAAATCTTTCCCGTGGCCACATGTTCGAACCTCGCTCTCCTTACAACAATAAAGAATGCCTCTGTCTGATGCATACAATGCCAGTGATAGTCCACGTTCGTCGCTGCTCACCCGCATCTTCAGCACCAGGGTTGAACGTCGGCGCAGAAAGTGTGACGTCATCACGCTTCTTCAACATAACAGGGTCTCCAAAATGGGTGTATAAGGCAGTATCTTGTACAAAAACTATCCAGTTTGACCTGTCGATGCTTTTGCAACGCAGGCCTGTACCTTACATTGGATCTGCACGATCTCATCCCCCGCTGAGTGCACTGATTCCGTGTCCCGGGCCTACCAGGCACTGTTGACAAGCCATGGAGACGAATATGTTTGAGAGTGAGCCAACCAAAGTGTCTGAGTCTGCTCCCCAGGATCAAGGGGATGGTCTGTTGAACACCAAACCTGACCCGTACTTCAACACACGTCTGGTGCACAGTCTCAACGAGTCCAACTTTGGCGGTTTTCTCTGGACAAAGGACGCAGCTCTGGTGATGTTCTACAATCCCTGTGATTCCATGAGTTCTGTGTTCAAGAAAGACTTTGCAATGGTAAGCGAATAGCACACTGAATTAATGGCGTGATTTTTTTCTTTAATTTAAGATTATAAAAAAGCCTCCAAGCAGCGTCTGCGCAAATCGCCTGCTTGCCCCTCCATCTATTTCCGATTTCAGTACAGTGTACACACGGGTTGGCGGAGTCCTTCGAAACATGTAGCGGAAATGTGGCTTTGGGGTGGCTGGTATATTCTTAAATAGCAGAAGCAGTAAACTGGCAACAAACTGTCCTTAAACAGCGCAAAATTACCGGTATCAATTGTAGTTAGCCAGTGGTAGATATGCAGTGATACTTATTAGTCATTATGCATTCTTCACTGATGCATGTACATTGAAATTAAGACAGTATGTGCCATACATGTTCTAATCTTCATAAATGTCTTTGCAAAACTAGCGATTTAATTTTCAATAAACAATTGATGCATTTCATTTGTATTATCTAGAGAAAAAAATCCACATATGTTGCCTATTTTGCTACATTATGTTATACCTTTATGCTATACAAACACATTCAGTCGTATTGAGCACACTGGGCTGGAACTATATTTTTTTTAGTTCAATCGGTACTTGTGGGTCATGTTGTCAACATTATGCCGACCGTCTTTACTTCCCAGGATGCACATGGTACCCACTCAAGGCTCGGCTGCTTTAGGAGCCAAGGCCATTTCTGAATAAAACAAAAGTTGGACTCCTTCTTGACCCAAATCCACTGATGTGTCATAATACTCTTCTGACGTTCTGTTATGTTATGACGGAATTATATGTTATGCTCAACGTTTTGTGCTAATTTTTGTCATCAAAGTTATTTGACTTCATTGTTGCATTAGAATTCACAGGCTAGATTCTTATAGATAGTTATGACAGTGAGGAAAACTAAAATAGATTGCTGTCACTGACCCCTAATTGACCTTGCTGGTGCGTGGCTTGTGGTACGGCCTGTAACAGACAATCTATTCAAAACACACTAAAAAAAAAAAAAAAATTCTCTGGGGCATGCCCAACAATCTTACATGAATAATCACAGAACAACATAAGACAATTGACGTCGAAGGAGGTAGGCACCATTTTGTGAGACGCCTGGTCGTGCTGACTTTACTACTGGCCAAGCACGCCTTCCATCCCTGGGGATAATTCTCAGATTCCCCCACTCTGCTCCCGCTGAGCTCTTCTTCAAATGCGCCTGGATCCCATTAGGATCTGGCAGTGCCCGCAAAGTTTAGGGTCAGTATACCAAGATAGATAAAAGCACAACAACCATTCCACAACCAACCGTTACTATCTGAACGCTTCAGCACTACTCAAGGAATGCAGTGCGATAAAAACACCTGTCACTATCCGACGCTACACACCACAAAGAATCTATGCTATCCTAACGAAACACATTATCATACTAGAATTTTATTGTAACACTTCAAACTGTCCCAAACTATCTCATGTCTCCTTCCACTGTCCCAAAAAACTAATGCTTATTGTCTAACGCTTCGTGGCTTTTCTTAAAGTCCGTTCGCTCAGTGGGGATCAAGCAGCAATCGTGGTGTAAGGAGCTGAGCGGTAGTGTCCCTCGGCTTTTCCAGCACATACATGCTTCCGTCGTGCTGACTTGTCCGTCAACTCTCCGTCATGCTCCTACACTCAACACACCGTCTCTGTGGTATGCACCTGCACATGATTGTACAAAACGTGTTCTGACAATGGCATATCCTTGCACGCAGTGAAAGATACATATGTCTGGCATGTAACCAACTGTTTATAATCTTTATATCAGGCCGCAGGAAGCACAAAACGAGCCAACCATGCCTTTGCTGCAGTCAACTGTGACCAACAGAAGCAACTGTGCCGGGTTCACGATGTCTTCAACACACCCACATTCGTCCTCTTCTCCAAAGGCAACTACGTGGGCTCAGTGAAGGAGGTCAGCAAATTTAGAGCCAATTCCTTGAGACAATATGTGGAAACTACATCAGTACCCTAGCCTTGGGCGCTTGAAACAACTCGCCTACCGCTGGTAGTCAAGTCATCCCACCAATAAGAATAGAGAATGTTCTCAAAGTCAAGCTATTAGCGTTCATCGATCAGTTGTGTTTATGTGCAGATACATTTCTCGAAGAAGCAAGTCAGCGGGGAAGAAACTGACTGTCCTATCGTTATACAATTAAAAAAACACAGATGTCAAACACCTTACAACTCCTTAGCATTAATATGGATAGATAAGAGTGGTTATCGGTACCGCAACAGCAATGCAAAAGAATCAATGTGTTACCCTGATCACTCATGATCGTCTTGTTTTAAGTGCAGGCCAAATGTTTAGGACCACGAATTAAATATACCTTCCAGAGATAATAAATAGCGCTAACACCACGAAGCGGGACATGAAACAATAGCACTCTTGTGTTTTCAAAGTGTTTAACGAAAGGATAAATACAAGACTGCAATAACTGCGTTTGGTTTGTCTAAAAAAACGGTATAAAAAAACATATTAGCGACGAAATATCAGCTGTTTAACACAAGATGGTCTGAAACTTTTAGCAGCTTTTGTTTGAGTGGCTGTATTCTCTGTCCAACCATGCATCTGTGAATAGGTCCCACCCTGATGCTTGTGTGCTTTTTTTTTCCACCCTGAACCTGAACTGTTTAAGGCGGAAGGGGGTCCTGGCTGGGTACATAGCTACCCTGTTTGGCCCCCTCGCCATTAGGGAACAAGATATCACAATACAATAGCATCTACATTATAAAGCACCCGCCTTCCTAGTTGATGTTCGATACGTGACGCGTCATTTTTACATTCCTTCTTGTGATTTTCTTTTTGCTGCAGTTGTTGTCATCGTCGTTGTTATCGCTGTCGTCGCATTTTTGTTGTTGTTATCGTCGCCATCGTGATGTTGTTGTTATTCCTCCTTTTACTTTTCTTATTTTTCTTTATCTTCATCTTCTTTTTTTATTTCTTCTTCTTCTTCTTCTTCTTCTTCTTCTTCTTCTTCTTCTTCTTCTTCTTCTTCTTCTTCTTCTTCTTCTTCTTCTTCCTCTTCTTCTTCTTCCGTCATACATCTGTTTTGTAGAAGAAACAAAAATAATTTTTGTGAAAATCGACAGACTTTTCATAAAATTCGACAACATTGCACTCTGGTCACAACGTTCCCGTGCTCTGGCTCCCATCCTGTCTCTAGATAGACTGCTTTAAAGGCCATTCGCTTACTCATGCTTCTACAAATCCTCCTCGCCACTGTCCATCTGTGCTCTTAACCACATCTCGTATCAAGTGTGGTCACTTATTAATGCATCCCTGAATAACAGGCACGTCATATACAGGAATGCTACTGTCTGCTTTGCATTCTACTGTCTGCCTTACATTTTACTGTCTGCCTTGCATTCAACTGTCTGTCTTGCATTCTACTGTCTGCATTGCATTCTACTGTCTGCCTTGCATTCAACTGTCTGCCTTGAATTCTACTGTCTGCCTTGCATTCAAGTGTCTGCCTTGCCTTCTACTGTCTGCATTGCATTCTACTGTCTGCCTTGAATTCTACTGTCTGCCTTGCCTTCTACTGTCTGCATTGCCTTCTACTGTCTGCCTTGCATTCTACTGCCTGCCTTGAATTCTACTGTCTGCCTTGCCTTCTACTGTCTGCATTGCATTCTACTGTCTGCCTTGCATTCTACTGTCTGCCTTGCATTCTATTTCTGCTTGCATTCTATTGTCTGCCTTACATTCTATTGTCTGCCTTGCATTCTATTGTCTGCCTTGCATTCTACGCCGTCAAAGCGTCCAGTGGTCGGTCAGTAATCCTTGCCGTGAGCACACGCATGGTCTGCGTCAATGTAACCACCAGGGTCTGTGGGTGTCCTGATTATGTGTGTGTGTGTGTGTGTGTGTGTGGGTGTTTCTGTGTGTGTCTTGTGTGTGTGTGTGTGTGTCTGTGTGTATGGGGGGGGGTGTTTCTGTGTGTCTGTGGGTGTTTATGTGTGTGTATGTGAAGGTGTCCTGATTCTGTGTGTGTGTGGGTGTTTCTGTGTGTGGGTGTTTCTGTGTTTGTGTGTGTGTATGTGAGGGTGTCCTGATTCTCTCTCTCTCTGTGTGTGTGTGTGTGTGTGTGTGTGTGTGTTTGTGTGTAAGGGGGGTGAGGGGGTTGTTGATTTTTTTAAAAGATCTGTCAGTAAAAAACCGCCCGGGACATTGAGAGAAGGTCGATTATCAAGGTTAGTTTTTTCCCTCTTGTCTGCAATAATATCACTTTCCAAGAGCCTAGCTTGCTTCATTTAATGGAATCCTAAAACTCTCATTAGTGATACTACAAACAGTATTGGAACTCAAACTGTTGTTTGGATTCCATAAAAGCTGTTAAATGTTTTCGTTTGATGGAATTTATGCCATGCGAGATGCATATCATTGGCAGATCAAGACAACAGGCATCACTCGAGTCCTTTCTGTAGGATGGCGAATACGCATCTGCATCATGGCGCAGGCAGACAGGAGCACAAGACAATAAGGACTTCATTAGTCGCTGTACTCATGTGGAGCTACTGAGCAGGAGATCGGAGCACTTATGGATGTGTCCCGAACGTTGTGATGATAGACTTTACTAATCACTAGTCAATGAGTGTGTGTGGGTGTGTTTGTGTGTATGTGTGTGGGTTACACAACTATTTGTTTAATGTTTTCACTTTTGTGTGTGTTAATGTCATATGTTTTTGTCTTGTATAGTACGCCATTTCAATTTTTTTAAAGTTTCAACTTGTGTCTGTTGTAATTTTATTTTGTATTTTAGTATTTTGTTACGTTGTTTAAAATGAGTTTTTTTTTTTTTTTTTTTGCTGCGAGGAATCTTTGCAGATCAGAGGCTGAAAAACAAATATTCAGTTTGCCCTATTTTCTCAGTTGCACAGCCCTTGCTTCTATGAGTACAATACACGTACCTTATGACTTATCCTAGGAGACAGTAGAATGTGAGATATGTTCTGCAGAACGAAACGTTTGGCTCTGTCTTACAGTGTTCAACTGTTCGAATCCCACATACGAGTCATCATCGTCATGTAATTGTTAGTTAGGAGTTCAATCCACAAAAAGACTGACAACGTTTGTTGTATGTCGGTTATTGAAACGTCTTGTCCCCTAATTGCAACGGTTCTCAACCTATGGTCGCTACCCTTTTGTGGGCCGAACGAGCCTTCCACAGAGACCGCCTTAGATCATCGGAAAACACATTCACTGAAGTTAGAAGTAACAACGAAACAGATTCATGGCTGAGGGTCAGCACAACACAAGAAACTTGATAAAAAGGGTCGCGGCATTAGAAAGGTTGGGAATCACTGTCTTAGTGAAGTCTTCATTTCTGCAGCTCCAGGCGGCACCTCTATGTCCATCAGCCTAGACAGATTCAGAGCCATGCCCTTATCGCACTGACTGTAGGGTACCGGACTAGGCATAGCAATCGTTCTGTCTGCAATTCAGTCTGCACAATCAGTGCCTCTAGCACCCGCACGACCTGGCACATAAAGGTTTGGGTAGCCATTCCCCAGCTGCTTAGTGTTGCCTCATCATTACGAAACAGGTCCCTTAAAGAAAGTGGATCTCAAATGGCTTACTAAAGATTCACACGGTCACTTGTCAACTTTCCCGCGTCGTCAACTTTCTCTCCTTGGGTTTCCTCTGTATCTTGCAGCTCTTTGCTAGTGGACACCTGCCTCTTCATTCATCTGATAGGAACTGTAAGATTCACTGCTTTTTACAAACATTAGGAGGTCTGATGTGAGCAGAGAGTTCCTGACTCTAAGACAGGACACCGTCTTTGAGACAGGAGACTGTCTAACAGACACACCGTCTTTGAGACAGGATACTGTCTATGAGAACACCCTCTTTGAGACAGGAGACTGTCTATGAGAACACCGTCTTTGAGACAGGAGACTGTCTATGAGAACACCGTCTTTGAGACAGGGGACTGTCTATGAGACACACCTTCTTTGAGACAGGATACTGTCTATGAGAACACCCTCTTTGAGACAGGAGACTGTCTATAAGAACACCGACTTTGAGACAGGAGACTGTCTATGAGACACACCGTCTCGGTGCTCACTTGTTGTTGGCACTTTTCAGACGTTGCAGACGACAGGGTTATATTTTGCTGTGAGGTGGCATAGGACTCACACTACACGGCGACGGCGTCTGTGACTTGCAAGACTTGAACGCTATGATGAAAGTCTTCCGCATTTACAGTTTAGAATATTAAAATGGTTGCCCTTCCTGCAACACGGTCTACGAGACCCCCCCCCCCCCCCCCCCCCCCCCCCTTTTTTTTTTTTTTTTTTTTTTTTTTGCTGTCTGAAGAAATGTTTTGATTTCTTTATTAATCGTCCAGAATTCATTCATTCATTCATTCATTCATTCATTCAGTAGCATGTCCCTCGCGGAACCTCGCTGCCATAACAACCCTCCGGAAAACCTTCCTATCCTGAGCAAGATGTCCTGCGTCTGATACACCCATCTGGAGATCATCTGCCACATCCTACACCCATCTTCTCCTTGGCCTTCCTCTTCCTCTCTTCCCAGGCATATACCCCTCCATTATTGTTCTCTCTAGACTTCCATGACGTTTCAAGTGACCAAAATATTTCAATTTTCTTTGTTTTATTGTCTTTACTAGCCAACCCTCTTTAATATTCAGCTCTTGAAGTATGGATGCATTTGTTCTTTTCTTTACCCAAGATATTCTTAGAACCTGTCTGTCCAGAATTCACAGCCGTAAATTAATAATGGCTCCATATATAGCATGAGAGAATCTTTTCCCAACCTTCATTGACATGAATTATTTGCACGCACTTACCTGTATTTTATAAAACCTCGGTTTAGCCAGTCCTATTCTATTATTTACCTCTGTGTTTCAGCTTCCGTCTGGTGTTATCCATATGCCTAGATACTTTCATAACTGTACTTGTCCTGAAAAACGTTTTGATTTTTATTAAACATTTAGGCTCGGTTTG